AGAAATATATAAGAAAGTTTGATTGGAAATAATTTTCAGAATCTATTCATTCGTTTCCCTATCTCTAGTTCAGTTTACTTTGTTTGCTGATTTCTCAATCAATAGAGTCGGATATGTAGCACACAATTATTTTCGTTGAACATAAGAACAGATGAGAAAAAAAAATCGTCTCGGAACAATACATTTTCAGACAATAAAAACTCAATATATATATATTGAATTAAGTTCTTGTTCAAGTCAAAATCAAAACATCAAGGTTTTGAAAATTGATGCTAATAGCTCGAGGGCAGTAGTACTTAGTTCCAAAGCGGAAACTCATAACTCGCTCATAAGCGATAGAAATCCTGATCACAATGTAGAGCGTATATCTAGAACCTATGAAATACCTCTATACCACCTAACAAGTGGAAACATCTCTTTGATTGTGTCAATCTGTAGGATACTAAGAGTAGTATATATCCTCAAAGTTTCATGCCACAAAACATCATGATTGAAAAATGGCGAAATATACACTGAGTGGGTACTGCATTGGTTATCGTCATTTTTTAGCTGAGGATGCCTCCAGTGTGATTTCAATATCTCAAGAAAGAAACAATTTTAGAGGCTGAAATTTTAGACTTTTTCATATGTCACTTGGGTCTACATATAGGCAAAATTCCATTGAAATCCATGAGATCAATTGAGCACGGTTGGTCGTAGCTATCGTGCAATGGCTCCTAGGCATAAAAGGTAAAAACTTGCAGTTTTTGGTAAAAATATCTTTCTGGATCGGCTCATAATAATAGCAGTGGTCGATTGTGAGGCGCAATTAGAACCGATGATTCCATATTACAAAAAGAGAATATAAATACTAACGATTCCGACACGATTCTGGCAATGAAAGACCTGACCTCAGTCGGAGAACAGCCTCCTTTACTGACCTTTAACCATAGTTTATCTCTATAACGACTTGTTCTTCAAGAAATAATATATGATAAATTGATTTCGAAGTTTACACAGGCAAAATGAAGATAAAGTTGTGAAAAACAGTAAAAGCATTAGATTAACAAAAAATCCAATTTTTACATCATTCAACACCAATGGGCCATTTTTGACCCATTGTGCCCCTCCACACTGCAATAGTTTTGCTCGAATTTAACTGTATCAATATCATATTGAGTAATTATATAAGTTATTTCTGTCGCCAACTCAACACCAATTCTTCTAGATTAGTAATGGGGGGAAAGGGTTAACATTTAAGATTGAACGCTTCATAAATTTTTTTCATCTTTTACTAATCAATAGTGAAAACTAACTTCTGATTGATAATTATGTAAGTTGGAGATCAATGACAGAAATATTGATTTTACGGTGGAAACAGCAGATAATTTCTAATTTTTGATAATTTATCTCTCATTCATTACATTTGTTTTTAAGGTGATCAATCTATTCCTGAGTGAATCATGTTGTTTGCTCAAAGTCAAACAATAGATCATTGATGAAGTAAACTTTTGTTAGAACCATTTGTTGATGAATTTCATATAATAGTTGAAACATTCTCCAAAGATATAGCGAATTGATAATTAACCATTTCAAAATCTTGTTGTTTTTAATATTAGCTACATAATATATAATCGATAGTCAACCGCATTTGCAATTTTAACAAAGAAACTTATAGTGTTATTGATTCTACACTATTTTGTTTTGCGCAGTTTGTCGCTGGGCATTTCACTTTGAGACAATATGCAGGTCAATACAGAAAGATATTGAGTAAACTTAGAAGCAATAATAAATTCTTTACTGTTAATACAATCATCATTTTCGATTCTATGTGGTCCAATTTCGCTTTTAATACTGCATTTTTCCTGATTGTGTCTCGAAAAAGTCTATATGACGAATAAGAGCTCCTACATTTTGATTATAGCGTTGGAAAGCCAAAACTTTTTAATGCATCCTAGTAACATTCGACGTTATTAGGTCCCAAGTAAACTGTCTGTAGCTTATAATTTTTCAATATTTGTTCCTCTTGAAGATGTCTTCTAAAATACTAACGAATACCTTTATTAAATATGTGACAAAATGGACGATGTTTCAAACATCGTACTTTAATCATTTCCTTAACAAAAGAAGAATAATGTGTTTTAATAGAACATTTTCTATAAATCTATGAAAGTCTCTTATTTATATTTATCTTTAGTTGTATCTGATTATAGAAAGCGAACATGGGACTATGTTTTACTTAATTTTAAACCATGACAAAAATATCGACTTTCTCGTAGAATTTTTGAGAAAAACAAGTATGTGTACAAAATTTGGTTTTTCAGTGAAAGATTACATTTTCAATCTTACGTATGATTTCAAGTTGAACCACGATACTATATAAAACTAGATGAATAGAATTTTACACGGCTCATATTATTTTCAATGAGTTTCATTAAAAAATCAAATATTTGTCGATACAAATGAATTCTTTTAAAGGAATAAATTGAGTCAAATATCATGGTAGACTTTTTTATCGAACCAAATCATTTGTATTTCTAATTACCTTGTTGATAACCACTTCATGCTTTAGCCAACTATTAAAAATACACTGATCGGAGTTGCTATTTTTCCCATCAACATTCAAGGAGAAAAACCATCCGAACACCCAAAATGATGATAAGAAAAATGTTTTCAATTGAAAATTATTTCTTGCCATTCTCATGAACATTTTTCGCTTTCCAAGAATGATTTCTTAAGCTTCGATTGTTAAAACATATCGAGAACAATTGTCTAGCTGATGATTATCAGGAAAGATGTGCATTTTGTCGGATAACTGGAAATAATTACGTGATTGATGTAATGCTTCTTTTTTTTTCTGGGCGATCTTTTTTATCAAATATCCATCAAATTAATGACATACTAAGAATTCTAATTAGCAATTCTCTTACTAGCACAAATCTATAAGTATTGTATTAGAAGTTTCATATTTTTCTTGATTGAATATTTTAATGTTTTTTTTTTTGTGTCATATAATAAATAAAATAATACACAAAAAGATAGCATAAAATCAATAGTGTTCAATTTGGTGACTAAAAACCTATTGAAATGATATACCAGATTTGTCGACAGGATTTCTTCATCCATTCATATAAAACTTTAGTCATCATTGTTCAAAGAAAATCAGAAATCTTACTAACGTAATAAGTATACCTTTTGTTTATCAATCAGTAACACCTTGATAGTGTTGTTGAGAATATTTTTATTGAAGATTAGCATCTATAATAATTAATATGTATCGCTTCAAAGACCAATGATTAACTCTACTTTATATATCACTTAAAACAAATGTAACTACTTTGAAGACACTTTGGCATGATGAAATTAAAAGTATTCAGATCCCTATAAATATACACAAGTATCATTTTCAATTTTCCTATTTATTTATCGATAAGGCTGTTTTCTAGATCTTCAATCATTGGCTACCATCGTTTTAACAACTTCATGAGGCAATTTCGCTATATGAAAGGAAAATTTGCTGTTTCAGGAATGAGAGAATGAAAATCAAAAATCAAATGAACCTGCATAGATCAAACTGTGTGTGATCAGATTTTTCTATCTATTTGAGAATCAAATATGTTCCATTCTTCTAATAAATTCATACAATGTGATTGGTTGGGTGTGAAAAAAAGTTGTAGTCATATATTCACATTAGTAAAATTAAAAATTTAGTAACATTTTTCAACAAATTTAGATACTCATCAGATTGTAAATCATGTCCATTTTCTTCATCTTTTTTTGGTTCCATCATCTCATTCTACTCGTTAGCTATTTCAAATCCAAATATTGTGTTTTGTATCACAAAATCTACTTTAAATGATGAATGTTAAGATTTTTGAAAGTAATCGTAATTCATCATGATTTTATGAGAAGAGTTTGTTTTTACATAATTATATATATTAGAATATATCATTTTCCTTGTGATCAACCAGTGATCCGAATAACTGTAATGTTGCTGTTTATTTCTGGACATTACACTAAAATGTATAGTAATTAATAGAAGATGTTCAAGATTCGAACTAAAAACTTGTTTAGTTTAGTAGTAGGTCGAAATTAGTGCAGGGACTTTTACAAAAAATCTGAAAAAATATTACTAGATGCAATAATAAATCATTAATGAGACGCATTACTTCTGACAGTTTAGAGCTAAAAATGTGTGAAAACTCTGCTACGTTCAAGTTTTTATTCATCATATACTAATTGGAATCGTTAGACGAAGATATGGATCAGTACTAATTCAAGAAAAAATAACATAGAACTACTTGTGAAAACACTAGTGACTTACGTCAATGCTAACGATCGTCAATTAATTCTTGTTTTCAAAAAACAAAAAGCATAAAAGATGTTTTACTTTGGAGAATCATACTTTTATGGTTACATGCGATTACCTAAGTTGACTATGAAAGAAAACTATTTCATTTAGATGACTACAAAAGAATATATAAAGTATACACATCTATAAACTGAAACAGAGAAAGATGGGATAAAATAAGAATGAAAAGAAACGAATAAAAAGGCATGTCACAACATAACAATTTAAAGAAATTATTAGAAAGACAACTGTCAGAATAAGACCCATCGAAAATAGGAGTAATGGAAGAGAGAGAAAAAAAGGCAGTACTTCATTCAACCATTATTCTATTTCATACATGACTGAAAAGAGATGGTACTGGAACAGAAACTATGCATGGTGTCTCAGGAGATATGTATTAATGATGTTTCGCGACATATCAATTATCAAGCTTCTTAAATGTAAC